TATGCCAGGTATTATTATTTGATGTTCTATATACATAGCTCATTTCATCCTCATAACAATATTACAAGGAAGTGATCATAATAAAAAATAAAACAGTAATAAATAATACTATAACAACATAGAAGTTACACTTGTTGAGTACTTGCTATGGGTCAGGTAATGTACTACATACTTCATACACATTTCTAGAACTATTATTATCCCCATTTTACAGATGAGTAACTGGAGGCTCAGAGAGATTAAGTGAGATTTTTCTCAAGGTTGCAGAGCCAGTAAGTAGCAGAGTGGGGCACTTTACCTTATAGATATTTCATTTGATATCATTAAGAAGGAATACTGGGGAATATTATAAAATGTTCAAGAGCATCAGGAATGATTTATTTCCAAGATTTTTGATCAGAGGGAATCTGTAACCAACAGGTGGTCGCAAAGGCAGTGTGTGGTATGCATCTGACTTGGAAGAAGAAAACATTGATACGACAGTGCGTTCTTCAGGTTCCTCCTCCAGACCGCATGCTGGCGCTTTTGTGCCCTCCTTCTTGGCCAGAGCTCAGTCCCTAGGCAGATAAGTTGTTAGAAGGGTGGTGGCCAGCCAGAGATCACGGATGTGCAAAAGATGGCTTTAAAGAAGGCTCACTGTCCAATGACTGGATTCTCCGCTGCTGCAGAGCCCTCCGTGTGCCACTGTTTGACGTGTGTGCCTGAGCCCCTCCCAAGCTGCCTCCTCTAAGTTTCCCTTGGCCATAGCTTCAGTCCCCAACTCCAACCTCGGGCTTCGTTGATTTGTGGGTGGAATTTGCAAGTGTAAAGAGGTCCTGTACGGTTTGTTTCTAAGGCACAGTTTCAAAAGAAAATGGCATTTTATAGCCTGCATTAATGGGAAATGACTTTCCATTAGGATTCTGAATGATTTGCACATAATGTTTATAAAGTGAAGGAAAAATGTCAAGCATTTCACTAACAATTTAAAGCAAAGCTCACAGGACTGCCAGAAATGAATTCCAAGAACATTTTCTTCATCATTTCTTCTTTCTAAAGAAAAAAAAAATGGGAGATGAAAGGACGTAGGTCAATTAGGCAGAATCCATCAGGGGACTGAGATGGAATCTTTGATAATATCATTTCTAGGTACTTAAGAGAATGAATAAAGTAAGCCAAAAATGGAGAAGGGGGGCGGGTGTGGAAATCACATCTTGAAATGATGGATTACAGACAAAATCCAAGTTTAGGCCCTGGCTAGGAGAAACCACGGCCTGTCCAAGCCCGTGAGTCTGGGGTCATGACGCTTCATCAGGATATGCTGCCCCTGGGTCCCCAAGGAGGAAAGGAGGCCAAGGAAAGTCCTCGAACTGAAACGTGTGCCTGGGTTGTTCCCAGAAAACCACTGGTTTTGAAGAAAATAGTGAAGGAACTTGTGACCTATGCTCAAGTGTCTTTCCTACCCAAGGGTAATTTTTTTCAGACTCCAAATTGTCACTTACTGAATTATAAGTTTAAAGATTAGAGGACCAAGTATATTTTACATTTTTTATCAACTCGTTTATTTATAAGGTTTTTTTTTTTTCACTGAAGTTCTTAAAGAGGCTACCACTTTATATAATCACAACTAAGGGTTAATGTGCTCCAAACTGGGATCAACTTTAAAAATGTGGAAGGCTGAGATTAGAGAACAAATGTGGGTTCCAAATGTGTGCTACAGGCATTTCAGAGCGAGGCCAAATAAATCTCTCCAATGGCTTATATTAAGACATTCTAACTCCCTTTAGGTATAAACGAGACTTTTATAAGTTTCTTGACACTTCTGTGGGGGCTCGGAAATAATGTCTAGAGCCCAAGTCATTCCCCTCACTGGGGCAAAATCTCTAGGATTACATTAGAAAATAAACATTTGTTCAAAGGTAAAGTGTGAAGTTTGAAAATTAAAGAAGACGAGCACTTTGCAGATAGAAATATATGCATTTTTTACCTAAATTTCCGAAGAGGAAATTAAAATTTCACACAGCAGTGACAATGATGATTGCTCAGTCAGCAGGCTATTTCTCACTTTTCTCTTTATTCCCTCCCACTCTTTTCTTCTGTTTTTTTTTTTTCTGTCCTGCCTCTGGCCCCCTCCCACCACATCCATTTCTACGTGTTTTCAGTGGTGGCTCAGAGTCAGAGTTATTGACGAGACAGAAATGAACCAGGAAACAGGAGCCCCACACTGTAGCCCAGATTCTGGCACTTGTTAGCTGTGTGACTTTGGGTGAGTTTCTTAACGTCTCTGGACTGATTTGAACTTGCCCCTAAATGAAATGACTGATCTTAAGACAGTCCAAGGTTCTTTTCCAGATTTAATTCTGTGGCTGCAATATTTATCTTTTATGAGTACTTAGCATTCTTATAAATTTGAAAAGTGCACAGGTTGAACATTTTCTACATTTTAAAAAATATTTTAAAAAATTGAAATGTGAACTATGATTATTGTTGATCAGTAGCCATTGATTTGAGAAAGGGGAGAAGCCCTTCTCTTGTTTTTCAGTCGGAAGGAAGCTTTAGAGGGAAAGATTTTCTCACTGCAGGGAATGGCTTCCTGTAATTCTTCTAAATCATCTGTAAAACGAGTTTTTGAAAAGCCTGTAAGACATAACTTCTATCTTAGTTGTGGGGATTTTAACACTACTTCTCTGAAATGGTTATATGATTATATTATCTCAAATGCTGCATATTTTAGGATCTTCATGCCTATTCTGCAATGATACATTTGGTCTTTAGGATAAAATTTAAAATACTATCATCTAAATATTAACATGCGTGCTTATGTTTTTTAAAAATAGCGTAAAGTCAATTGTTTCCAGGAATAACACATAGGGCAGCTGTGTTGCAGAGTTCCGGAGGGCTTTCTGCTTGAATCCACACGAATGACACGCTCAGGAGTTGTCCAGTGGGTGTGGCCTCAGGTGCACACACTAATGCCAGATTATGGGAATGAGGGACACAGGGAAAGTGTAAGAAAACAGTGCCAGGCCGATGATAAATGGCTGACACCAGGCCTGTGAGTCAGGAGCACAACAAGAGGTGAGTCTGTAGCCAACTAGAGACACTCGCCCTGTCCAAGGGGGCGGCCCGTCGTCCACGGCAGCTGCTTGTTGCCTGAGAGTGTGGGCCCAGGATAGCAGCCTTTCTGATTTTTCAAGAGAAGCCAGAAATCATATATTTATGTGCAATCTCTTGATTTTTAAATATTGGTAACTAATCTACATTGTACAAGGCAAGAAGCAGGCCAAATAGAACACTGTCTGCAAGCTGAGGCCTGGGCCAGCGGCCCGGAAGCCACCTCTGATTTGTCCTCCCCTTTCCCTTCACTCAGAGTGGCCAAGGCAGCCCACGAACCCTGGGCCTGGTTGTAGTGGAGGGGTCACCTCAGGAGGCTTTGAAAAATAAATGGACCACAGCTTCTGAGATTTCTGCAAAAGTCATCTCAGTAGATAAGTCAAGGCTTTGTAAAGTGGGGGGCACACACTTACTGTTAACTCGTCTAATATGACCTGTGTAAGTTGTGGAGGATTGGTGTTCAGGTTAAAACAACTTACACATGCTTATTTTTATAGATTATGATGATTAAGCTTGAGTTCCGTTGACAAGTAATTTTAATAAGTCCTATCTCCTATGGCTAAATACAGGGTTCTTACTTCTGGAAAGACAGTTCATAGACTTTCACTATACTTTACTTAGTAGTTTAGTACTTAATTGTCTTAGTTGGCTTGCGCTGCTGTAACAGAATACCAGAGACTGAGTGGTTTAAACAACCAACACTTATTTCTCACCGTTTTGGAGGCTGGAATGTTCAAGATCAAGGTGCTGATAGATTCGGTGTCCGGTGAGGGCCTGCTTTCTGGCTTCTGTCTTCTCATTGTGTCCTCACATGGTGTCACTATACGATTCATGAAAGCTCCACCCTCCTGACCTAATCACCTCCCAAGGGCCCCACCTCCACATACCATTACACCAGCGGTTAGGGCTTCAACATGTGAATTTGGGGAGGGATACAAACATTCGGTCCATAGCATTAACCATAGATTAAGGCTTAAAATTTGCAGATAAGGAAATCAGGGCCCAGAGGTGACCTAACCCAGAGCTAGAACCCAGGGATCTGAAGTTTCTGTCCAATGTGTTCTTGCCAGTAGACAAAAATAGTGTTTTAGAGATGTTGAACAACATGGTTTTTGTGGTATTTATCAGAATTATGCACCAGTGCCCTGTCTGAGTCAGCTAAAGGGAAAGTGTTAGCTTCAAAAAAATTATGCTACAAGAGCATGAGATTTTAGATTGGAAAAAAGAAATTACAACTTTTGAAGGAAGCTTGAATCAGATATGCTCATTCTAATTCAAAAGAGACGATATCTAATAGGTTGAGCTTGGTGGCTGGCCCAGAGTACACACTCACTGAGTGTTTGAGAATGAGTGTGAACCAGAAATAAACTTGAAATTCCAAGTCAGTTTTTTGCCCCAACGTGGTAAGAGATGAACTCTCTAGTCAGCTGGTGCCGGCACAGTCTCGTCTTGGGGTTGTACAGCCAAAGCTGCAGAAGGAGACTTGGGTCTCCTTCCTCTCTGGGCCGCGGATTCCACCCCTTAACAGGAAACTTCCTCTCTGCTCCCTAGCTGCCCCATAGGTGGCAGAAGTCATAAGGAATCCCTTCTGAACCTCCAGAATTCAGGAAGTGAGCAGAAAATGAGCCCACTCAGCCAAGATGGGTGTCACCTGCAGTCCTCACTGTTAAGTGGACTTTGGAGTCAGAGGGAGGCCCAATCCTGGCTCTCACTCCATACCTCTGGGTCTCAATTTCATTCTCAAAAGAACAGGAATTATCATCCCGACTGCACAGGGTTGTTCTAAGGATTAAATTAGATCATGTAAATTTGAGGTGCTGGGCACGCACACATGGTACTTGCTACGGAGTAAGAGCCCACAATATGGTGGCTGTTAATGTTACATAATTGGTTATCTGATTTCCCAGCCTACAGCAGACTGGAGGCGGCAGATTAGAAAGGCCTGAGGGACCACTTCTGGACGGCCCACTGACAGCAGGAAAAAGTGACAGGTCGCAGCCTGACTACAAGGGAGGCAAGAGAAAAGCTGTAAAAAGCAGGAACAAAAACTCAAAAGGCCCAGCAGTCTGGGGCATTTACTAAGAGACAAAGAGCCCTCCTCAGGTCAGTAGCTTCCGGGAGACTCCATGCCTTGTACTCTGATAGGGCCTCCTGTTGACAGCAGTTGTGTGAATTACTTCTCTCTCCATCCTCTTTCCCCCCTAAAAAATAGGAGTGGGGAGTCATAGTTTGCCTTTCGGTGGGGATGCTCTGGCCGAATGCTTCCAGGTAATGAAATCCCCAAAGTCAGGGCGAGCTGAGGAGAAGAGAGAGCAGTGGGCTCCTTTGGAGGTCTGAAAATAACCCAAGTTCAATACAGGGGAAGAGTGGTGATGTTCAGTGCTGCAGAGAGATGGGTGCCCCGTGCCCCGCTGACCACTCCCTCCACCTCCACCTCCTCGAAGTCAGGGTGAGCAAGCCTGAGAGCAGCCCTGAGAACAGGCTTCCAGGTCCTGGTGTGTGGCAGAGACAGAGGGAGGAAGAGAGACAGCCCGAAAGGCCAGTCTCCACTCTGCTGTCTCGTCCACCACCTGGAGTTTTTGTTTTGTTTTGTTTGCTTGTTTTTTTAATTGAAGCCTTGAGCTGCTTGCTTTGAAGCAGGAGCTTGGGCTGAGGAAAGCAGGACAGAGAGTAAGTACCTGAGGGACAGCTCCCAAGCGTGACTCGCAAGGCCAGGTGGGATGGGCAGACCTTCCAGGATCAGGGAAGGATTTAGGTGGAGAACAGTCCTAGAGAGCATTCCAAGGCCTGGGAGCTCCCCAGGGCAGACTGAGCTGAGGACCCACAGGCTCATTCCAAGCCTGGTGGATGGACCACCCCCTAGGCTGGGGTTGGCCCAGAAATAGAGTGAGGATAAACTTGCAAGCTAACAGTTTTCAGTGGGGAGACATGGCATAGGTCAAATCTCAGCACTGCTGTTTAATTGCTTTGAACTTCTGTATGCCTCAGTTTCTCCATCCATCAAATTGGGGGAAATAATGGCACCTAATCAGAGCGCTTCTCTGAGAATTGAATCCACTGATATCTCTGAGGCACTTAGAATATTGTCCTGGCACATGGTAAACATTAAAAACTGAGGGTGATTATTTCATCCCTATAGCCGATTGGGGCGGAAGAATGGTGGGGCTGCCGCTATCAGAACAAGATGTGCTCAGCATTTCTGTACATGCGAGTAGCCCTGTGTGGCAGGGACTTGGGGAAACAAAAGGTGGGGTGGTGGGGAGGGCACTCCCAAGAATGTTCCTGCTGTTAAAATAAGAGGGGACCCAATATTGTTAGAAACTGGACCATATTATTGCCAAGAGGGAAGGGAAATTTATTTTAGGGAGAACGTGATTTCCCTACCTGTGTGTGTTGCTGGTGCTGACTCACCGGCCACCTTAAAACTCTTGTGTGAGGGTCTCCTTTTTTTTCCCCCTAATGGTGTGTAACAGAGCTTGAGTAATAAATATTTAACAGGGACATTCCCTTTTCTCTGTTAAAATAATCTTTGTTTCAGTGCTTTAACAAGGAAGACTGTGTTTTTCCCACCTCTGCTCTCATGTTACGTTAAGCCAGGTCTCAGGAGTAAGAGAAAATAAACACGGGCTGCCCAGCCAGGCAGGAGGAGGCAGCCTCCTCGCGGACAGCACAGCATGGGGTTGGGATTTCCGTGCCGTCTCGGGCACTCACGTCCACGTCAGCCAGCGAGGAGCCCGTGTGCTCTTATTTGCCATGGTTCCAGGTGCCAACCACTGAACGAGGAAAGGATGCGGGTGGAGGTGGTCGAGGAGCAATAGCTGCAAGACCCCAGGGGGAAAAGGAGTGGGTGGCCAACAAAGATGGGGCGCTGGGTAGGACCCATCTATTCTTTAGGGCAGATTTCCAGAGAGGTGGCGGCTTCTGATTGTGAGCAGCCGGGCGTTCAGTCACCTTGTAGACATTAGTGTCGAGTCCAGTTGGAAGGATCCCCCAAGGACGTACAGCCTCTTCTGCAGAGCTTCTGGGTTCCATCCGTGGTGACACTGACTGACTTTTGTGGAGAAGGAAAATTCACGCCCTGTCACTTAGGTGGGCAGAAACTTGGTTTCTCTTTGGCTGAACTGAACTTGGTTATGAGCCTCCATTTAGACCAATGGCGGAAGCAACTTAATCTTTTTTCCATTTCTACTTTTGGCCAAAAAAAAATTTTTTTTAAATCTTTTTTCCATTTCTTCTAATGGTGGAAAAAACCATAATCTTGCCATTTCAGGGTAACTCAGTCTCTTCCAATAGAAAGCGTAGACTATCCATTTATTACTTTGTTAATTCAGGATTTAAACCCAGTCAATTCAGCTGAAATTCCCTGTCAGGGCTTTTGGGTTTTCTCAAAGGTTTCCCCACTCCCACCCCAGGATGTTGCCTGGCTGTGAGGGGGAGTTTATGGAACATCATGGTGGCAGGTGAGGGGGCTTGGCTGGGTCTTAACTGCTTCCACAGCTGAGATAGCTGGTCACCCCAAGCCTGGGCCCGGGTCTGTGGCCCAAGCCTCTGTCTCTGGGTTGCCAGATCTCTGCATCCTGAGCCTGTGTACCCACCGCCGGCCATCTCTGGTCCAGCTGCCTCCTCAGCACATTCTCACTTCCTGCTGGGACCTGAGATTTGTTCACAGTTCATGCGGAGCTAGGGGTGGCGCCCTCAGGCTCCCTCTCTGTTTAGTTACTCCACCTGCCATTTCCACTGTGCACAGTACCCTGTGTTGGTCTAGAGCACTTTGGGAGCCTGCCGTCTCCCAGAGTTCCAGGGGGAAGTGGGGCCTCAGAGCCCCGTACCTCAGGGTGGAATCCAGGGAGCATTTCAACCTTCTTGCCCACCCTCTTGCCTCTCCAGGCCCCTTTCCTGCCTCCAGGAAGAGCTTGTATCTCTTCTCCGGGTGGCAAGAAACAGCCCTCCCCTCTCCACAGCTGGTAATAGAATCTCTTGAGTTCCTCAAGCTCTGGTTCCTTGGAACCCAGAGGTCAGTCTCTCTCCCTCTCTCTCTCTCTCTCTCTCTGCCTCTCAGATCTCATAGAAGCCTGGCACGAAAGCGGAAAGCCTTGCTTTCATATTTCGCAACTGAAATAGCGTTATTTTGGAACTTATAAGCTAAACATTGGCGGCTTTGTTCATGTGCAGGTTCCACCCTCCCCCTAAAGTAAGGGGGGCCACAGCTGCTTGTGTTAGAGTCCCAGACGGCAGAAATGACCCAGCAGGACAAATGCACTGGATGATATTTCAGCATATCACCCCACTGCGTGTGTAATTCAGGACAGCAGCCCGAGCTCGGGTACGTGCAGGTTTCTCCACTGCCCACGCTGTGGAGAGCTGTGCTCAGTGCTGGGGGAAGCTCAGAGGTGGCTGGAGTGCCAGGTGCTTGAGCCTTCCCTGAGTCAGGGAACTCTTGCCCAGGAGTCTCTCCACATAGTGGTCTTAGGAGAGATGCTGTGTTTTGGGTTCATTTGCTGACAGAGTGTGATGTGAGTGTTGGTCGCTTTCCAGCTGTTGGGAAATCAAAGTGGGCAGCGTGACAGTGGTCCCTTGCTCAGAATAAATGAAGTGAGAAGTGAGTAATGTGTCTTTTCCCTGGTTTGTTGAGTGTGTATGCAGGGAGTACACACATATGCACACATAGGTGGTGGCTGGGAAAAGTGCATGCCCACCATTGGGTATTTATTTCAGTCATTGCAGAAAGCTCACAGAGTAAATGGGAGGAAAAGAAAATATATAATTAGCCCTATAGTCAGTGTGATAGCCCGCAAAATGTCCTGGCAGCCCTTAGCAGTGTCATGGATCATGTAGGAGTTGACTTCAGGAGGTTAGGTCACGGGCTGGGGTCTGGAGCCCTGGAGTCTCATTTTGGAGTTGCCGTCAGCCCTGAGAACAGGCTGTTGTGACGTCTTGGAGGCATTGCTGCCTCCTCTTCAAGAAGAGGATTCATGGAAGACCACCAATATCCATCTAGCATTAACATTTTGTGTTCAAGGAAATGCTTCTCAAGACTATCATGTGGTTGGCACCTGACTCCTTCTCTATTAAAAACGAGTAGTGGGAGAAATGCTAACAGAATAGTAAGCTAATCATTTTTATGGACCACATTAAAACACATAAAAGTTATTCATTAATAAAATTGACTTTGACTCAACAGCTCAAATTGTCATAGGTTTTCAGTGCCCAGCCCCCACCCACCCACCTGCCCACCCAGATATACACTGTATTCCCAAAGGAAAATGAAAAGTTCTGCATTGTAAAGTCATTTCCCCAATGCTTTGAAACCATTGACTGTTATTCTGTTCAAATTCAAGATGATGAACTGGGTACCAGTACTTAAATCCTTCCACTCCCCAACTCCCATCCTTATGATGAAAGGAATATACAGACTTAGGGTGGAATGGAGTCTGTCTTGGAAGGAGCCCTCCAAATGCTAGAAACATCAAGTAGATTCTAGAGATTATAGGGCCAGATTTTAAAAGGCTGACCTTCCATTAAGTCACCACGTGGCAAGGGGCTTCCTACCTGGAGAGGAAGAAGAGCCCCCCCTTTTCCTACCAACTGAAACTCCTTGACACTCTCAAGCTCTGGTCAAAGACAATGGAGGAAAGGGATACCATTAAGCTGGGGCTTCTCAACCTCTTTTGGACACTGGAAGCACCTGAGAAATTTTTAAAATCCTGATGCCCAGGTCGCATTGCCAGAGCTTCTGATTTAATTGGTCTGGGGTTCAGCCTGCGCAGTGGGCTTTTTAATGTGCCTCCAGGTTGAGAACCACGGCCACGGGAAGACAAGGGGGAGCCTCACTGATAAACACTCCTCAAGTGAGGGGGGGCTTGGCTCTCACCCCACCTGGGCGTGGACAAAGTGCTGAAGAATTTAGGAGTGGGGATGGCACTGAGGAGGACTGCCCTGTCACTAGGTGAATTTGCTGCCACTCCCTACCTCTCCCCAGGACAAAGGGGCTTCTCATTTGACCCACCACAGAAATACCCAAGTGTATCTATTCTCTTCACTCGGATGTGAAAGATTTAGTGAGGAAGGAACATAATCTCTAGCAGAACTTGTTTCAACTCTCAGTTGAAGTCAAGAGAGAAAGAAAGAAAGAAAGTGTAATAATAATAGAAAAATGAAATAAAAATGGAAAGCATTAAATAGAATGGCAGAATTGAGGTAACATATAGACAGATATCTCAATCACATGAAAGGATTAAATTCTCTTCTCAAAGGACAAGAACTGTGAAACTGGCATGGTCTTGCTCTGGGACACTGCCCCTGCCTTTTGACCCCACTCTTCTGGTGTGATGTGATGAGGACATGAGGAGCTGTTGAGTGTGTGGATGCTTCCCCGGTCTCCTTTGGGATCCCCGTTCATCTGTTGGTGGTGGCCTCTGTCCATGTGGTGGTCTCCACATCGAGGGGGTGTGTGGTCTCCAAGTAGATGGGGTGTGTGGTCTCCATGTAGATGGGGTGTGTGGTCTCCATGTACATGGGGTGTGTGGTCTCCATGTACATGGGGTGTGTGGTCTCCACATCGATGGGGTGTGTGGTCTTCATGTAGATGGGGTGTGTGGTCTCCAAGTAGATGGGGTGTGTGGTCTTCATGTAGATGGGGTGTGTGGTCTCCAAGTAGATGGGATGTGTGGTTTTCCTGGGATGGGCTTTAGCCTCCTTCCAGCCCCATCTTCACGGGATGTCACATCTCCCTCTGAGCTCACCAGTAGTTCCTGCCCACCACCCTTCGGGGGGTGGGGGGCATTACCTCACTTGGCCAGGGTAGCCCCTCAGCTCCTGCTCATCCTCTCACCTTCAGCTTCTCTACATGGAACCACGGGAACCACTGAGACCTCATGTCCCCTTCAGCGGCTATGGTGAACTGGAGTGAGGTGACCACATCTCCTTCCCAGACAAGCTAAGTCACTATCGTAAGCCATGCTAGAGAGCATTCCATGTTCAGAAATCCATAGGACTAGGTAATTTGGGGCCATTTTTTTCAAATCTTCAAGTTTGAATATTTTAGAAAATAGAAAAAAAGTTTATTTTATGAAGTTAACATACTCTGATACCAAAACCTGACCCGAATATAAAAAGGAAGTAATGTCACTTTTAAATATAGATGGAAAAATCTTAAATAGTAGCAAACTCAGTCTAGCCATAGAATAAAAGTGTAACACATAAATAAGTGCAGTTTCTTCAAACCATGTAATGGTCATTCATTTAAAACTTTTGAAATTAATTTTATGAATACTAAAAAATATGATCCAGTTAGAATCAAAATGAGATTTTGTTGGGGGAGCTTGATACACTGATACTAATTGATACATTAATACTGGTTGAATGATTTCATGAGAATAGGAAATTTTGAAATAGAAGAATAATGATGAGGAACTTCTTTACTAGTTATTAACATTTATTTTAAAGCTACAACATTTAAAGTCATATGGTACAGTTACCTAAATGGATCAGTGCAACAAAATAGAAAATCCTAAAATAGATCCAAGTGCACATGGTAATTAAATACATGATAAAGATAAAAGTAATATTTTAAATCAGTGGAGAAAGAACGCATTACTTAATCAATCATGTTGAGATAACTGCTTAAGCATTATTAAAAATAAATAATACCTCTATTTGCCAAAATGCAAATGGATTAAAAGTAAAAATTTTCACATGAAAAAATTAAATTAAAAAATTACTGGGATAAATTTAGTTGAATATTTATATGTAAATAAAGAAACCATGAATGAAAAGTTTGATCAATTTGGCTGCTTATACTGTTTAAAATTTCTGTACTTATGCCAAAACAAAACAGAAACCTTCTTCCCTGCCCCATTGCCAGTACATACTCCAAAAGCAAAATGAAAAAACCAGATGATAAGCTGAGAATACTTGTATCAAACATGGCAGATAAAGGGTTAATATTTATAGTGTATAGGCCCCTAAAACTTTTAAGACAAAGAAAGATAAAAAAATAAATTGACAGTAAATGTTAAAAGTATTGGGAAAATTTACGTTCTGTGAACAGCAAGTTCGCTTTAGAAGTTTACACTCAGGAGTTAATCGTGCACATTTGTAAATACATGTGTATTAGGATATTTTTCAAAGAGTTATCTATGACAGGGAAGAAATGAGGAAAGGAAGAGAGAGAAAGAGGAAGGAAGGATCTTATCCAATAACAGGAGATTTGTAAAAGAAATTATGTTTTATGTATTGATATAGTTGACAACCGGTCGGTAATTAAAAGTAGTCGGAAAAGATGTTCACAATAACATATATATAGGAAGATTCTTTTGTGAAAACAGCTATATGTAAATACATACACAAATATATTCATAAAGGTATCTGGAAGCTTCTATGCTAAAATGTTAATTTAACATTGGTTATCTCCAGGTTAGTAGGTTACAGCTGACTTTTCTCAGTTCTGCATAAGTCTTGTCTTTTCTCTCTCTCTCTTTTTTTTTTTACCATTGCCATGTTTTAATTTTGAAATTAAAAAATAATTATTTAAAAAATGTCATTCTGAGAACTTCTTGGTACAGTAACCCCAAGATGTCAGGCTGGTCTGTAAATATTCTGCTCATCCCTCTCCAGTCTCACACTCTGCCATGTTCCAGCTTCTGATCACCAGCTCTAGGAAGATGTCGCCAACCACCCAGGCCTTTCCTGCTTCCTTCTCCTCTGAGCTTCTGAGCTATGAGTGATACATCACCTCATCTCTGTTCTTTAAATGTTTCACATGAGTTGTCCAGTCTCCACAAGGAAACTCTAAGCTCCCTGAGGGGAGTTGGGCCTTGTAATTCTGCACCTCCCTTGGGCTCTAGACAGAGCTGAGTAGGAGATGCTTCAAGCTGAGTACATGCTTCAAGGAGATGGGCTGGGCCTGAATTCTTTGGCTGGGAGTGCTGATGAGAAAAGCCATGGGCCTAGGAGGTCACCTAGGGCGTCACCTGCTGAGGGGCAGCTGGGAGGGCAGAGACCACAAGCACAGCACAGTGAGCTGGGTCAAGCCGGCCTTGTCAAGGGAAGGAAGGCAGGGGCCTGCTGTTCATGGTTTCTCCAACTCTCCACCTTTCCAGTTTTCCGTGGATGATTTGTCATGTTAACGTGTACTTTTTATCTCCATATGATGCGGACAGGTTCTAACGTTCCCATGGACCAACCCTGCTGTCGTGGTCTCTATGACTTTGAGCCAGAAAACCAAGGAGAACTAGGATTTAAAGAAGGGGACATCATTACATTAACCAATCAAATAGATGAAAACTGGTATGAAGGAATGCTACATGGGGAATCTGGATTCTTCCCCATTAATTATGTTGAAGTGATCGTGCCTTTACCTCAGTAAATGTGTAACTCACACTTTGGACATACTTTCGTAACTGAAATGAATTCACACCAGTGTTCTCCCAGTGTGGTGTTCTGTGACATCCTTGCTCTTTGACCAACTTAATGACTTTTGTAGGTGTGTTCTCTTTATAATGTATTTTGTATCAATTTAATTTGTATAAATGATTTTCTTGTCTTAGCTACCTGAAAATACAGTTTTCTTTTTGGCTTATTGTTCTTTAAATGTTATTGGTTAACTTAGTCATTGGTTAAATAAATGTATGTGCTTCCTGTTGCTAAAAATAAATGCACTATTGCAGTTATGTCCATGAATTGTTCATATTCCTCAGCCACAGTGGAATGCAAAATTTGAAACTAAGACATTCTAAGTATTTTATTTCCTGACATTACTGATCGCATCCAGTCTTTTCCCTTCATCATGTTTTAGCTGACCTGTGAATAGCCCAATAAATATGACACACCGTGTTGGCAAAAGGCCTTGGTTATTCTTAATGGTAAATTGATTTGTAAGTGCAGTCTTCCAGCTGCAGAGTCCCACTGTGCTCCATGGGTGACCAGGTGGTCGCAGCAAGGATGCTTACATGCTTGCTCCTGGTCAAGTCAGCAGGTCTGAGAGTGGGCTTCAATTTCCACCTGACTCAAACACGGCACACTCTTCTCCCAGTTGGGGGATAGAAAACCCTTCCATGTACTTAAAGTTTGTTTATAAAAGAGCCTAACGCAAGCTTCTTATGCTGCCAAGTCCTGGCTAGGTTTTCAAGCAAGTCCTGTTATGGATGCTCAGGAAACAGCATGGTCAAGGATCGGGTTGAGTGCCCAATAACGTGATCGCTTAGGTTCGGTGAACCAGCCCCTGGCCTCACTCAGAGTATGCACTCATCGTGTACTTTGACCCAGTGAAGCCCATAGCAATCCTGTTGGGAGGGGGCAGGTATCATTTCCCCTTTTGTAGAGAAGGAGCGCCATCGAGTGGCTTGCCCAGGATCAACAGGCAGGCAGTGTCAGAGCCGGAGTTTGCACTCAGATTGCTCACTGCACTCCACTGCCCACTTCAGCACTCGTTACTTGGAGTGCATTGCTTTTCAGTGAAACATTTGTAACAACTCTACAGAAGCCAGATTGGTTTGTTAAGGTGACCTAAAACAGTTTCCCAGTCTCCTGAGTCCTTGGTACATCAGTAAAGTCACAACAACACAACTGGGCATTTTCCCTCTCCTGTCCTTTCCCTCCAGGCATAGACACACACACACACACACACACACCCCTCCCTCTTCTCCAAAACAGTTGTATATATAGTGTCTATAATAAAATAGTAATAATGGCTAACCATTATTGAGCGCTTACTATGTGCTAGGTGCTATTCTAAGCATTGTACATAAATAAATTCGTTGAATCTTCGTTAACAGTTCATTTTCTTCAGATAGATCTTATAATGCCCATTTTTCAGATAAGGGAACTGAGACTCAGTAAAGGTGAAGTGACCTGTCTGTAGGCACAGTTATTAAATGGCAGAGACGGATCCTAGCCCAAATTGTCTCCCTCCCACCGTGGGTTCCTCACGCTCTCCTATACTGTGTCTCGTCAGATGCGTTTGTCCACGTATATTCGCAAAGCAGCTGTTTTTTATACCCTATCAGCTTTTATCCTCCAGCTGCCACATTTGAAATTTATCAAAGGGAATGGGAAATCCATTCTCAGTGACTGTAACAGGCTTTGGTATCTCATTTGGGAAATAAACAGTTAACTGAGAGCTAGAGACTAGACTTTAGTGACAACAATAACAATAAACATGTTAAGCAATTTACATTAGATTGCTTTAAAGGAATTGAAATGGGACTCGTGTCAGGGGACAGACGGCTGCCGAAGAAGAGGCTCAGTGCTCTTTACCTGGCAGTTAGCTGGATGGGTGGGTAGTTACAATGTGTCTGTCTTTCCCTAACTTGTGGCCTCAGCTGTAGTGTAGGATCCCGTCTGCAGAGAGTCCTCACTCAGATGGTCTCTCATGTGCATGGACAAAGCTGGTCAGTTGTAATGGGCACCAGCCACCTTCTTTTCTTCAACCCACTCTTCTACGCCGAATTCCATTGTGTCCTCTAGGCAGCTCACCACTTCTGGGCATCACCTCTCCTACGGGGCCTCCTTACCCCTTCTGCTGGGTACTGACTGCCAGCTCCCACTGAGCATCACTCCTGAGGCGGGGAGCCTTTGACACACTGCATTCTGTTGGGAAAGACAGAAGAAGGCCACGTCCCCTACCTGTGTTGCTTCCTGTTGGTGGAGTCCCCAAACAAGGTTGCTTATCCTCCACTCTTTTACCAAGATTAATTAAACAGTTCCATCAGTGCTGCTTTAAAACTGTCCTCTCCATAGGTTTCAAGGGTGAGTCAAGATGGGAGCTATATCAGAAGATGAATATGAGTGGTAGATATCACCAAACCTTAACCTTTTTCTGATGATAAGATTGTATTATTATTGCATCAGTTATCTATTGCCACATAATGCTGCGTAACAAGCTACCTCGAAAATCAGTGCCTTAGCATGATACATACTTACTTAGCTCACAAGTCTGCAGGTTGGTGATCTAGGCTGGGCAGTTCTTCAAGTCTCAGCTGTGCTCACTCATGGGACTGGGAGATAGCTGGCGGTTGGCGGGACCTTACAGGTCTGGAGGTTGGCTAGGGTGACTCAGTTCTCCACGTATCTCCCTCCAGTAGGCTAGCCCAGGCATGTTCTCATGGTGAAGGCAGGGGTGCAAGAGCATGGGTGGAAAGGCTGAAGTGCTTTTTCAAGTCTCTGTTTATATCCAGCCTGCTACCATCCCACAGGCCAAACAAGTCAGAAGGCTGGGCCCAGTGGCAGAGTGGAGAGGTTTTCAGCTTATATGGCAAAGAGTAAAGCAGGAGGGACACTAATCTACCACAGTTCTAAATGTGAATGGGTATTAGCTATTCTTAAATGGATCAAGTTTGTCTACCTGGCTTTCTCTTCCTCGAGGATATGTTCTTTTCTTCTGCGATTTCTCCATCCCTCAAACAATAGACTCCTGTTAGGCACATCTTCCAATTCAATAGATATTGCCAGATGTGTTTGACCCTAAGCATGGACACTGCTTGGCTTCAAGCTGGGATCCCATCCTCACCTTCGCCTTCTCTACTCCCTTCTCTAATTTTGCTATAGAGGCAAATGGATCTGGTCCCAGTATGCTCACCTAGTATCCGTCCTTATGAGACCATACATGGCCGTGTGCATTGTCTTGGCCCCAATGGATAGTGGGTTTTGTTCAAATTTCCCCCTGAGGTACCGAGCAGGGCCAGCTAGAGATCTGGCCCATGGGTGGCACCAAGGGTTGGTCTCAAGTGGCTAACAGGGGGAGTGTGATCCTACTCAATCTAGGCAAAAGTACAAAGAGCAGAAAGGGGGAATAAAAAGCCATGTCTGTAAGAAATAACGAGAGATCAGCTAAGGAGATCAGATACTAACCTCAGGGCCAAGTCCAGAGGACAGAAACAGGAGCATCAGACGAGTGTCAGAGCACAGAGTCAGGGGACTATTCGAGGACAAGTCTCAATGAAGTGTATCCAGTATAAAGATGCACCAGTGTTTATACATGCTGAATTATCCGCCTGGAAGAGGCTCCAAACTTGGGCCAAGTTCTTTGACATCATGATTCTTTGTTTCAGAAGTAAGCCATGGGGATGGGGCTAGAAGTCAAAATGGATGTTATGGCTCTTTTAGGGAAAGTTGTTCCCACTTCTGGGGTTGTCTTGGGGCCACAGGTTCCTGGGGAACTTCCTTTGGACTTGGAGTAACTCAGGCCTGAAGTGTTCCCCTTAGAAGCTACTTTTTATCTCCCACCCCACATGCAGAAAGAATCGGTTATGTTCACCCCTGTGGAGGTGGAGGCGAAAACACCTTCCTGGGCCAGCTGTGTCATTTGCTTTACACGCATTTTCTTGTTTAATCTTCATAATAACACTAAGGCAAGTTGCAGTGTTCCTATTTGCAGGTGAAGAAATTGAGGCTTAGAGAAGATAAGTGACTTGCTGAATATCACAGAGCTCAGCCCTAAAGGCTGGGCTATTTCTGTATCACTCTGTCATACTCACCTTTCATAGTGTCTGCCCCATGTGTAACTTCTACTTTACCCACTGTGGATGGACCCCACCCACCACTATACATTGTGACCCGACCCCACTGGCCACAGTTAACTGGACCAGGGATATGCATGCAAACCAGAGAAGGCCCATCAGTCTCTTCCCTGGGAATTTGGAATTTTCCAAATGCTTTTGGTGTTATAGACACTCATTCCACATTTGGCTCTAACTATTTCTTCTCTTTTCTCATTTACTTAGCTATCTAAACTTCAAACTTTGTATTTTTATTTTACAGTTTATCATCTTTTAATTCATTTTATTGGGATTTTATCCAAAAATTTTTTTTCTCCTTTTTAGGTGCATTTGGAATTTATAATGGCTAGTTTTAGCCTTTATTTCAATCACTTAAAAGTTATTTGTTTTAGGGGCCGGCCCAGTGGTGCAAGGGTTAAGTGCGCACGCTCCGCTGCGGTGGCCCGGGGTTCCCCAATTCAGATCCCGGGTGCGCACTGACACACCGATTGTCAGGCCATGCTGTGGCAGCGTCCCATATAAAGTGGGGGAAGATGGGCATGGATGTTAGCCCAGGACCAAGCTTCCTCAGCAAAAAAAAAGAGGAGGATTGGCAGATGTTAGCTCAGGGCCGATCTTCCTCACACACACACACACACACACACACACACACAAGTTATTTGTTTTATATTTTCAGAGTTACTTCTATTAAATTTAAGTATTTTATTTTTAAACATTATGTCACTTTCATTTTTCCTTAGTGTTAGAGGGCCTTGAATTGTCCTTCTGAGGAGCTCCATGAGTACCACTCTACTGCCTCTCCCCATCCCCACTACTTTCACCCCACAGCAGAAGTGACGATCTGATCCATGAGTGTGCAGAGAGGAGTGTGTGTCAACCAGTCCCTTCCATTCCTCCTCCGCTTTGGTATTGGTCTGTCTGCAGCGAGCACGTGCTCCGAAGCACTCTTGGCCGTGCTGTGCGCTGAGTGATAAATACCCTGCACTGTGGGCGAGGTCCAAGGTAGTCCAGAGTCTTCTGTGCCTGATGGGTAAGTCTGCCTGATTGTGAGGTTCAGAATGAGGAAGCCCTCTTGCCCAGAGATCTGAGCCGCATTGTTCAATATTGGCTTCTCCGGTAATAAGATGATATTTTGGTTTCCATCTTTTGTCTTACTTCTCGATTGGTTCTTAATCAGGCCTCTTCAAATGCCAACATCTGACATATTTGTGCAAGAACCTTGAGAATGAGGCAGGAGGGCATTCAGCGATTAAAGCAGCACATGGGAGAGGCTCACAGTGGGGCCAGGGCACGTGTCTTTGGACGTTACTGTGTGGGCACTTGTGTCTCTGTGACAGCGTGGCATAG